TCCTAGTACTCAGGAGGCAGAGGCAGGAGGATCTCAGGAGACATGACTTAGCAGTTAACGTGTTTGCTGCTCTTGCAGAGGATAGGAACTCAGTTCCCAGCACCAACACAGCGTCTTTCAAACACATCCGGAGGATCTGACGGCCTCTTTTGGCCCTCCACCCTCGTCCATACACATAAAAGTATTTTTCTAAAAAATGATCATACTAAGACCAGTTTTCCCCTCTTTGGGGGATGTGTTTGTTTAGGTTTCCCTCCAACTTGCTATGTAAAGACACGTTGGTTGAGACAGCCTTTGTATATAGCCCAGGCTGTCCCCAAGCTTGATAGTGTTAGCCTCCTGCCTCAACCTCCAGAGTGTCTCTATTAAGCTACTTTTACATATCACTGTCCAGCTCTAATCTGGTAACAGAAAACTGTGGCCTAGGAAATAAAAGTAACTGGGTCCAAGCTACAGAGCTGGGAAGGAGCTAGCTTAGAACCCAAGTGTATATGAACTAAGCTATACCACTAGTCACACCCTGTACTTCCATTCTTCCTGGAATGGACTCACAAGGATGCCTAGCTAGGGTCTGTTTCTTTACGAAGCTCTCTAACTTCAGACAAGTCTGTCTCTAACTCAGCCTGTACTCTTACTGATTTTTAAATGTAAGACAAAGTCTATATCCCTGACTGGCCTGGAACTTGCTGTGTAGTCAACAATGACTTTGAACTTCTGATACTCCAGCCTCTACCTTCCCAGTGCTGGGTTACAAGTACACATGCCACTATTAGTGTATTCAGTACTAGGCAAGCACTCTGCCAACCGAGCTACAGCTCGGGCCCATTCATTCATTCACTCACTCACTTGTTCATGTGCCAGGGAGGAATCTTAGGACTTTTACATGCTAGGCAGGTACTGGAGTGACATTTTTGAGAATTTTCGTTTCCTGAAAAACCATAGAAATGTTCTAAGAGCGTGCTTTCCTTTTAATCCCAAGTGTAGGGATATGGGCTGCTTCTGACTGATCGCGGCAGCTGACCATGATTTGCCTCATGCGCTAGCTAAAATGTGGTTTTGTCAGCTGCAGATAATTTCTGTGACGGTGTGACACACAGAATTCTGGGAACTTGTCAGAGGGTACATAAAGGTGAGGGCCCTAAGAGGCAAGGTTGGTGGTTGGTGGTCATTTGGGCATGCTGGTTAGTTTGTTAGTTGCTGTGGTCAAAGAAGAAAAAAAAGAAGTTAGAGTCAGGGATTTTTCTAATCCCTCCATCCTTGTTTCTCTCCGATGTAGTGTTAGGGGGAGAAACTGGAGGTGAGGAGGGGATGCAGGGTGGGAAAAGAACCCAACAAGCAGCAGCTTTGCTTCACCGCTGAACTGCATCTTTGCCCTTCACCCTCCACTCTTTGCTGAAACGCCAATTCTACAAAGGCACTTTCTTTCCTATGGCCCAGGAAACAGAAGAATTCACATCTGGAACTGTTCAGAGGTAGCACCTGCACCTCAGATTGACCGATGAGCAATTTAGGGTCTCACCGTGCAGCCAAGGTTTCCTTGGAATTTACATAGCCAAGCATTGCTTTCAACTAAATGGGTAGTATCTGCGTGTAACCTATACCTGGCTTACAGTAGATCTTAAATATTTTCTAAATAACTTATACCTAATATGATGCAAAGGATATGTCAACAGGTGTATTATTTAGGGGATAATAACAAGGGGGAAATCTGTAGATGTTCATGCAGATACAACTTTTAAATTTATTACATTATTTTCAGGTGTGTAGGTTGGTGTGCATGTTCTACAGTATGTGCGTGGATGTCAGAAGACCGAGACTTGAGGTTATTCTTGCCTTTCCCCATAAGGGTCCTGGAGATCAAACAGGTCATCAAGCTTGGTGGTGAGCAGTTTTATCCAATGAGGCATCTTTTCAAGTCCCGGATGCCATTTTTTTTTTTTTTTTAAATCTAGAGTATTTTTAGTCCAAGGTTAATGGAACCAACACAGACCCTTTAAATGGGTGGACAAACCTACTATTCTTACTTGACAAACGAGAAATCGAGCAGTGACAGATTTATCTGTCCTGTGTCATAACTACTTAAGGGCAGAGCTGACTGGGATTGACACCTTTTGTTTTTAACAAAATCTCAACCATTCAATTTTACCAGTGAAGACTTGGGAGCCAGATGGTAGGGTTAAAGCCTGCTAACTGAAAGACTGAGAAAACACCCAGCCCAGCTGACCTTCCTCTTCTGCCCGAGTCCCTCCAGAAATGGCCCTCTCTCACAATCTCAAACAACCTCCTCCAAACTGAATGTCCTTCCCTTCTACTCCTGTGTGTTTATCTGACCCCCGACTCCTCCTTACTCTCTATCATTTCTTCTTAATAATCCTATGTTCACTTTTTTTGTTTGTTTGTTTGTTTTGTTTTTTGAGACAGGGTTTCTCTGTGTAGTTCTGGCTGTCCTGGAACTCACTCTATAGACCAGGCTGGCCTCGAACTCAGAAATCCGCCTCCCTCTGCCTCCCAAGTGCTGGGATTAAAGGCATGCATGCGCCACCACTGCCCGGCTCTATGTTCACTTCTTGACAACAGTTGAGCCTGTGGTTGCTTGCCCCTCCCCCTTAACCTTCTTTAATTGACTTTAATCTTGTTTACAATATTCAAGCAGAAAGCTCTTGGATTAAAGGTGTGTGCTAAAGCCTGAGCCACACAACTAAAAACATTTTTTTCCCAGTAAATAACACAATCTTGGGGTTCACAGAATGATCAAATATCCTGCAACACACACCCCAGGCAGATATATTTCAGGGAGTTGTCTTTCTTAAGGATGGTGGAGAGCCTCTAATACTCATTTAGGCAGGGAAGAGTTACAGTATTGCTGGGGGAGTGGGGTCAGAGTTTCCAGGTATTCTGTAAGTTATACAGCCATTCTTAGCTGGGCAATCGTAAGTTCTCTGGCAGTGGCTGTGGGCTATTTTTTTTTAAATCTCCTCTTGTAATTCAAGGTACAGATCAAAGGGGCTGGGAAGGTGGCCCAGTGATTTGAGCACTCACTGGAAAAGCATGAACTGACTAGTAAGCCCTCATAAAAGGCCAGGGGTGGGGGTAGTATATGCCTGTAACTACAGCACTTGGGGGATGGAGACAGGTCCTGGGTGTTTGCTGGCTAGGCTAGCTGAAAAGGGTAAGGTCCAGGTTCAGTGAGAGATTTTATCTGGAAACAAAACAATAACAACAGAAACCCAAAACAGATGAAGCATGGTAGAGGAAAATACCCAATCTTTGGCTTCCACATTTGCAAACATAGGGATGTGCACCTATACATATATATATACACTCACAAAAAGAAAACAATACTGTAACCCTGTGTTTGCACACACACACACACACACACACACACACACACGGAGTGCCTTTATTTATGAAAATATACAGTCATTTATTTAAAACTAAAATTTCTTTAAAAAATACTCATGTGGCTGTAGTAAGAATTTTGGTTTCTTCAAAAATCCAGTCATGGGCTGGAGAGATGGCTCAGGGATTAAGTAAGAGCACTGACTGTTCTTCCAGAGGTCCTGAGTTCAATTCCCAGCAACCACATGGTGGCTCACAACCATCTGTAATGGGATCTGATGCCCTCTTCTGATGTATCTGAAGACAGCTACAGTGTACTCATATAAATAAAATAAATGAATAAAAAAATCCAGTTATGTTTTAGTTCCAGGTGTGGGGTAAAGGCTGCTTCACAGCAGGTGATTATGAATTGCCTTGTGCACTAGCAGGGGTGTGATTTTTGCCAGCTGCAGATAGTTTCATTCTGGGGACTCTGGAAAAGGCCTGTTGCAGCTACTGCTGCATTTGTTATTGCTGGTTTGCTGGATACTCTGATGATGAAGACTGGACTTGCCCCAAGGAACCCAAGGACCCTAGTCAGCAGGAAGGCAGGAAGTAGCCTATGGAGGTCTATATCCCTTTTCCCCTCTAATTTTCTTTCTCTTACATAATGTTGTGACATTGGAAGGGATTAAGGTGGAGAGGAGGCAGAGGTGTAAAAACGTAATAAAATAGTAAAATAAATAAATAAATAAAAGCCATGTGGCATGCATGGATAACTTTTTTTTTGTATTTTTTTTCTGATTTATTTTTATGTACATTGGTGTCTTGCCTACATGTATGTCTGTGAGAGGGTGTCAGATGCCTTAGAACTGGGGATACAGTTGTGAACTGCTATGTGGGTGCTGTGCTAGGAATTGAACCTGGGTTGTCTGAAAGAGTAGCCAGTGTTCTTAACCACTAAGCCACTCCTCTGTCTCCAAATGGAAACTTTTCTATGCCATTGAATTCTCTAAAATTATCTCATGGTCACATTTATGGATGTTACACCAAAAACTATTTCAGGACTGTGGGCAGCAAGCCTTACCTACCTGAAGGATGAGATTACGATAACGCAGCAGAAAAAATGATTAGGGAAAACAATGCCAGGCAGGGGAATAAAAGCGGTACAGCAGAATGAGAATGGAAAGGTCTTGCTAAGTAGACCAGGCTGGCCTCCTGAGTATCTGGGATAGAGTGTGCCAACAGATGGGGCTGGCTCCTCTCTTTCCTCTCAGTGCAGGTGACTGGTTGGATGTACGGGAAAGGGAGGGGGCAGGAGAGGAAACACTGCATCTCTAGCTTAGAAGGCAGAGCAGGGAAGTCAGAAGAGCCAAGTGACCGTTCCACTTGAAGGAAAGACTGTTGGTGGCGTATGGAGGAAGTCGGCAGTAGGTAAAATCCTGAGTAGTTGAAATGACGACAGAGTGGGCTGCTCCACGAGAGTGAACAATGAATAGTCGATACAACTAAGAAGGATGAGTACTGAGGGCCGACGGGGGTGCATGTCTAGAGTCCCAGCACCCAGGAGCCTGAGGCAGGAAAACTCTTTCACATTTCTAGGTCTTCATACCAAGTTTCAGGTTAGCTCAAGGTTAAGACCCTCTCTCAAAATCCAAGTAAATAACCTGAGAAAAATAGCATTCATTTGGCAATAAATATTTAATTAAAATGTACTTGGGTGACAGATTCAAATATGGTTAAACACCGAGAAATAAAAATTTAAATTTGTCCGGACCCTTCACCACCCAATCTTACTTATCTTGCCCCAGAAGTACTGTTGTTAGAGTTCTTACTCTGTATGGTGACCTCCATCCAGAGTTTTGAGTGATTAAGCCCAGCTCTAACTAGACCACTGTCTTTAGTACCAAGCTAACATTCGGTTGTTGACTCTTCTGCAATGTCAGCGACGGGTACCTGGGGCGACCTTGTCTGCGCTGGGTGCAGATGCTGCCGCGGCGTTCCTGGCCCGAATGTGGGAGGCCAGGGCACTTAACATTTCCTGACTGGTGAGGTTGGCGCCGCGCATAATCAGCCGATACCCATCTCCTGGGGAAGATGCAAACCGATGAGTGAGGGACCCGGAATATGCGGGGCTAGGGCCGCGCTCCGCCCTCCCCCGCCCACCCGCGTCCTTGCGGGCTTACCGAATAACACGTCCACGCAGGGCTCAGAGCCGTCGTGCCTCACGTCGGCGATCACCGAGCAGTTGAGGTTGGTGGCGCGGACTTTCTCGCTGCTCACCGCCTGGAGAAAGATCCTGCGGTGGGAAGGCAGCGTGAGCGCGTCCGGGGACCGGGGAGCCTGGAGCGGGGACGAAGGTGTGTGCGCGAGGCAGGGAGGGCGGGACTGAGAAGCCCTGGAACTCGGGCAGGGGGTCGAGGGTGCGCGCGCACGTGTGGGGAGCGCGGACGCGTCCCACCTCCCCAGAACCCGTACCTCGTTGACTCCACGTTCTTCTCAAACGGGCAGAACTGAACTCGAACCAGCTTGACCGGCCGTAGTCCGAGCCGAGCCAAAGCCGCCGCCATGGTTCCCTCCGCCCCGGAAGGAGTAGCACTGGGGATCGTTTTATTGCAACGGACCGCTTCCGGCGGCCTCCGCTGTACTCGCGGCTGCCCTCCTGGGCCGCCCGCAAACACTTCCGCCATTAGCATTGTTCTGTGCCACACACAGCATAGGCAGTGAATGTGCAAAATCCCCTTCAAAGGCAAACGTCCTTCAGCCTTTTCCCTTCAGTATCCAGCCTGCTAGATCTAGGTCAGCACCATCCCAAGTCCTGGCTCCTTCCGTTGAGAGGACTAGCACTGCAGGGATTGTCCACCCACCACAAGGCAAGCCCTGCCCTGGGAGCAACAGCCCAAGCTTAAATGTCAAGGTCCTACAGCCTAATGACTAAAAATAGAAATGAGGACGGGGTGGGACAGACCCTCCACGTGTAGAAATGTTTGCTTCATCTGTGTTTCCTCATGAATTAACTTTAGCCTTGCTCCTGGGATTCAAGAGAAAGCAAGTAGCTTGCTTCTGTCTCCTGAGAGCTAACCCTGTAGACTCCCTTCTATTTCCAGCTCTAAGACGTCTCCATTGTTTCCGACTTTCAGATTTCAGGCTGTAGTTTGCCTATTATTCTGGATTGCAGATCCTAGGATGATCTGGGGTTCAAGTCCAGACTCTAGTTTAAGAACATGTTTTATCAAGCGCCCAGTTTTAAGCCTCTCTAACATACAGTTCCTTGTCTGGGGCAATGATTTGGAACTCCTGGACCTAGTCAACTTAGGGTTCAGGACTTGTCCCCAGGCAAGAAAAAAAAGGCAAGTGCCAACGAGGGTGTTGGTGCAACCTCAGGGCAAGCCAGGCCTGCTGGTTTCCGGCCAGGTAAGCCTCAGGACTAGGTCCTCCTCCTCCTCCTCCTCCCCCTCCTCCCCCTCGTCCTCCTCCTCCCAGGGTGCTTAGCAGGTGAGTGTTCTGTGCTGGGGAGATTCCAGGCTGTAGACGGGGTGGCAAGCTTTCCAGGCTGTTGAGGCTGCTGGTGGGCAGTTCAGTGGTCTGGACCTCATTACAAAAACCTGGGAAGGCAGGAGTGGAAGGCAGGTTGGTGGATAATGCTGACGCCAAATCAATGGTGTGATTGGGTGTGTCTTTTAAAGCAGTGATGGAAGGGCTTAGAAAAGCCTGGGGGTTGAGGACGGTGATAACTCACAGCAACGGGGAGGTCTTCTGTGGATTGGATTCTTGGGCAGAGGTTGCTGCAGAAGACACAGCAGGGCCCCATCTAGCTTCTGGAAGATGCTGAGTGAGAGCAGAGTCTGGCGAAGCTCCCGGGACAGGCCCCACTGCTCCTGTTCCAGAACCTCCCTGACCACTCCGAAGTCTTGTTTGAGCTGCAGCGCCCCCTGCAGGCTAAATGTCCAGGTACAATATAGACACCAGACACTTCTGCTTCCCCAGATTGCTCTGCCCAAATGTTCTCCATTTTCCCCATTGGCATTCTCCCGCTGCCACTACCATCTTTCCTTCCCACCTGAATCGGATCCCATAGGTAAGAATGTGGTCAAGCCAGGCGCCCAGTGTGGCTGTCAGTGCCTGGCTGAGGGCCGGGGCTTGGGCTTCAGGCGGCAATCCCCGCAGTCCTTGCAACACAGGCTCCAACACAGTGTAGACCACCATCCGAGCATACTCACTAGGGTCGCTGGGATGTTCTGGAGTGAGGGGAGAGAAAAGACAGATGGAAAAGACAGATGGAGAGGCTCTGCAAGTCCAGTGGGCTCCAGAGGGAGGGGCACAAAAAGTAAGGACAGAGATACAGACCGCAGTGCGGAGCCACCAGAGGAAGGCTTGGGCCATTTACACCGGGAACCAGGTGGAAATGACAAGTTACCAAGACAGTGGGGTAGGGGTGTAGCCCACTCAGTAAGGCTTGCTTGTCTAGCTTGTGTGAAGTCTTAGGTTTCATCCCCAGCACCACAAAGAAAGAAAAATTACCAGGACACAGTCGAAGCCTCCAGTATCGACCCCTTGGCATGTGGAGCTTGAAGCCTTGTGTGGCTTGTTTATGACATTCTTGGAAAAAAAGACTCAGTGACTCTTTGGGCAGGAGCTGTATGGGGGGAGGGGGGAGAAAGTAAGGGCTAGTCTGTTAGTCTGACCAGATGATGTTTCTCCCACTGAGGCCTCAGTGTGGGGGGTCTGTAAAACCCTGATGCATCACTAAGAACTGCCACAACTTTAACTGAGTTTTCCAAGAGGTCTGGACCTAAACCATGCACAATACCCAGGATTAAGTTTTCTTAGTAATCAAAGACACATGACAAGTCAGGCATGTTGGGCATGTGGCTAGACTCCCAGCATTTGGAAAGCAGGATCAGGAGTATTAGAAATTCATGACCAGGGCTGGTGAGATGGTTCAGTGGTTAAGAGCACTGACCGCTCTTCCAGAGGTCTTCAGTTTATTTCCCAGCAACCACATGGTGGCATCACAACCATGAGATCTGATGCTTTCTTCTGGTGTGTCTGAAGACAGCTACAGTGTACTCATATACATAAAAAAAAATAAATCTTTAAAAAGAAAAGGTGGGGGAGAGAAGATGGTGATGAAAAGGGTCTTTGTGTTGTTGTCTGTCTCAAGAGGAGGAGAATCTAAAAAATGGGCTATTTGGCAGAAGTTCTGTAACAATGTGACCTGAGCACAGTGGCATATGCCTGTGACCCCAGGGTTCGGGATGCTGAAGCAGGAGGATGACAAGTTCCATGAGGCCAGCTTGAGCTGACTCTTACATAAGAATCAAGAAAGGAAAAGGAGGGGGGAAGAAAAAACAAAGGAGATGAAAAAGATAGGACTATACAGATCCCAGGAACCTAAGGAAAGGGAAGCCCTGAGGATTGTGGGAGGAGAAGAAACCACTGGGTCCCTGGCACATCAGGCGTGTTTATGCCTCAACTTGTCCCTTCTTCTCTAGCACAGCAGTTTCTCCCACTCCTGTCTAGACAGGCCTTACTGTCTAGCCCAAACTGGCCTTGAAATTTCCATGTAGCCCAGGCTGGCCTCAAACTCACAATCCTGCTTCAGCCTTCTCATTACTGGGATTAAAGGTGTGCACCAGCACCCCTCGCCCTGCCTCCAACAGTGCAATGCTAACTAGCTACTCTGCCAATTCCCACACCCTTTCTGGACACACACAGGCCTGACCACAAACAGGAGGGGAGGGAGAGGGAAGAAGGGAGGGAGAGAGGGAGGAGAGAGAGAGAGAGGGAGAGGGAGAGGGAGGAGAGAGAGAGGGAGAGGGAGAAGAGGAGAGGGAGAGGGAGAGGGAGAGGGAGAGGGAGAGGGAGAGGGAGAGGGAGAG